CTGCTTCACAGGCATCGATCCAGTCGCTGTAGACGTCCACCGGCTCGGACAGATCTATTGAGAAAAGGTTAAGGACCAAACCAAGTGCTCAAAAATTCAACACACACATGCTGCATCAAAGTTGATCAATCCTTAAATGTATTACTTTAAATGAAAGTACTTTATGTGCATGTGCATCCAGAACTGTATTCAAGTGCAGAGTGGATTTAACCTTCTGAGGTCTAAGTCATCATCACAGACAAACCCAACCCTAACTCTATGCAATCACATGTCTGTGTCACAAGTCATGGCAGCCAGAGAACAAAGAAAGTAATCGTTCAAGTGATTAGTTTAAAAAAAAAAAAAAAGAAGTATGTTTTCCCTTTTCCCAAAATATAAAGTTGGGGTCGAGTAACCACCTCTGATAACTTAGACCTCGGAGAGTTAATACTTTTTGAAATATACTTCTAAATAAAAAGCAAAATAAAACATCCCTGGCAGCAGGCAGCATCTTTTGTTGATTAAAAGGATACATGTTATGGGAGTCTGAAACTCCTCCAAGCAAACGCTGCAGGATATAATTCCAGTGTTGCGGGTTCGTTCCCTAGGAGACAGTTACTTTAGGCAGGATGTCCCCCGATGCATGAATGTTTAAAGAATTTGGAGCGATACTTACATTTTGACATCGCAGGATTTCTCGTGATTGCAAAAAGGGCAAGTGAACTGGGTGTCCAAGTTACCTGTCATTTTCTTCTTGGGAGGTGGCTTTCTTTTTGACTTTCTGCGGCCCATTATATCTCTGTAGACAAAAAAAACACAGGTGTTTCCATTACGCTTTCACATTCCATTTCATTTAGAAGATTTTCTTAGACATGTATCTGTGTGTCCTGCCTAACTTATGTGATCCATGTTATCTGACTAGTCACTGCAGTGGTGTCTTGCACTCATATGGACTTTGAAGTTGTGTTTATGCGCCTTTACATTGATCTCATACGATTTTATTGCTTGGTGTGTTTTTATATTCAACATAATCACACAGTATATAAACACTTTATCTGCATTGTTGCAAGTATGGCTGTTATAAAACAACTTTTCTGACTAATATAAGTAGACAGCAACTATTACTATCCTATATGAGCAGCTAAGATTAGCAAAAACCATCATACAAAACACGAACTTGAAATGTTGATTAAAATTGCAATCAATTATTTACTTTCATCTGCTATAGATTCTTTTTTTAGAGAAAGTCTTGGACTAAAATTTCTCCGAATTACCAAGTTGTTTGCTAGGCCTGAGTGTACATTCGTTTAAAATGTCCCCACAGGAAACTCGTTTTTCCGATTATTTCAACACCACATGAATCTTTCACATATTGTACTAAACAGAGACTGCTCTAACCCATCACTTACATAGCTTACTGTTAACACAGCAGACAGTGCAATCCCAGCACGCAGCTGCTTATCAGTAAAAGTTTATTTTCCAAAACAATGACTGCCGCGAGATGTGGGTTACTTAAAATATCTTAGAAACGATAACCAACGCTGTTGCCAATGTGTAAACAAAACCTGAAATGTGTTTTATTATAGTCATAGCTTCGAAGTGTGGACACTCCTCCAAAGAGCTAAAATAATAACAGACGGGATGCGGAGATGCTCGCTCTATAAACGCCAAAAAAGCTACCGCTATATGTTAGCAGCTAACGCGCTAACATGCTGCTATCATGTATGAGGATTCTGACTGACGCAAAAAGTTACTTTCCGAAACAAACTAGAAGGTAACCGGTAAACACAGTGCGCTTCTCTGCACTACAGCTTTTGACATTTGAGCGACGACGTGACGGTTGTCTTACCAACGAGATGTCTTTCGACAGAGGATGCTCCGCTGTTCAACTTGGTACAGATGCAGCGTCTCACTGAGGACGCTTCTGATTGGTTAGGTGGGAGTTTGGTCAGGCTTTTGATTGGCTGTCTTCTGGGGGTCCGCTTCCAGATTGATAAACAAGCTGATACTGTAGATTAGTGACATCAAACCGCCCCGGACTCAGCAACCGGGCCAACGAAGGACTCTGGACTGCTTTGTAAAATGTGAAGGAGGGCTGAAATTCTGGACTTGTACCTGTATTTTCGTAAATTTTACAGCTTTCCTTCCTGATAAAGACACCCCACCGTGACCATTAAAACCACACCAACTTAATTAAATAATAGATAAATACTTAAATGGAAGAAAAGTTTTTTTGTTTTTTAAATCTACTCTAGAAATGTTGGGTCCACAGTATAAAAATGACATTTTACATGAATTAGAAATACTTTCAGTTTTACAAAGGACCACCTAGGTTATAAGAAATCAGCAGATTTTCTGTAGTTTTACATATTTATTTGTTGCAGTTTAATCCCAACTGCAATCATGCTCGCAGATTTCTTTCAATCACTTTCAATCACTGCTGTTTATAGGGTTGAGGGAAACCTTCAGTCAGCTGAGGCTGAAGAAGTCACTTGGATGAGTTACGAAACGTTTTTCCCACTTAAAACGCTACGTACAGATGAGCAGAATCAACTACAGCAATTTCTCCATCATGTAGAAAATGTCTAAATTGCACTTCTTTTTCTGATATTAGGATGTCCCCGTGATTAAAGCTTTTGTAATAGAAAGAGGAGTTTCATTGGTCGAGATGATAGTGGGCCGTATGCGACCCATGCGGTAAAATGAGTTTGACATCACATATGTAGACTATAGATCACATGCACAGGCATCTTCATATAGCTCCATATATGAATCAGTAAAGTAACTTTTCACTTACCTAGAACATGATATTAACTGTGGCGCTGCTGGGATTTGCACCCAGCATCTCCTCTTTGCATTTTTACCCCCTATGCCACAGCACCTTCTACAGATTACTTTGCAGTGCTCTCCTGGTGCTTAAAAGTGTCCTTAAATAAAAGTAGGTTTATTTAATTTAAAATATACTCTACACTCAAAAAATGAAATTGGGTGATTGTTACATGTACAAGATTCAAACTTGTAATTTGAACTAAATAATTTCATGTTTCTAGGGTGAACATAATAAAATCATGTAGCATCTGCATGAAATTCAGCAGCTTAATTTGTTCTTGTTGAGATGACATGATACAATCTAGTAAGAGTGGTTTGTTGCCTGGACTCACGAAATTCACAAGATCACATTAGATGTCAAACTGCAGGAAAGAGTTTTAAGAGGCAGACAGCTACACCCACACCACGTGTATGCTATTGCTATTTATTGTGGTTTAACCTGTCAAGGACAAAAATGTACAGAAAAGTCTGCATCAAGCCTTGTAATCATAGCTTTCCTAGTTTTGTTAATCCTTGATTGACAGCTTGGTGGTGTGATGGTTAGTGCTGTTGCCTCACAGCAAGAAGGGCCTGGGTTCAAATCCACAATCTGGCTGGTTTGCGGTGTGTAATTAGAGTTAGGTTAATTGGTGATTCTAAATTACCCATGAATGTAAGTGCAAATGGTTGTTTGTCTCCATGAAATCATCAACCTGCATATTGGTTCATTAAGCAAGACTAGCAGTATTTCCCTTGATTAACAAAGCAGTTGTTCAAACAATAAGATTTCATTGCATTTTCCTGAAGGTTTTTAACTTGTGTAGAATGAATTAAAACAAATTTCACTCTACATACTTAAATCAATCACTTCAAGTCAATACTACGTTGATCCAATTTAATGTGATTACATCAAACCACCAAATGCCAAATGTGTTGGTTTGACATGGTCAAAAAAGGGGTTATTGTACTTTGTTAAATCACATGGGAAAAGGTGCCATGATTAAATTGTGTTCGTCCAACAACAGATTGTTTTTGAGTGTAGTAAAAAGCACCCTAGTACTCATGAAAGCACTCCAATCAAAATGTACTCTGAGAAAACATTACACATTACATCCTCCAAAGGGTGTTGAACACTACTGCAAAGAAAATGTGAAAGTATGTAAGAAGGTTTATTAATGCCTGACCATATGACTAATAAATTAGAGGTAAGTGGGCCGTATGCGACCCACTTACCCACTTAGTGCATAATCATCAAATTCTGTATGAGCCACAGCAAGGCTTGTGTCCAAACTGACAGTAAATCATTTCCCTGTATGAAATCACTTGTCTTCTGTGGAAATAACTGATTATCATTATTAAATATTTGACTTCCTGTCTCAAATTCGTTTAAAAATTATTTAAGGTGCAACATTTTCAAAAGGCTTAGCATTGGGTCGCAAGGACAAACTCTCAGATCAAACTGCTTCACAAATCGTCCAACATAATATCCCTAATAGTGTTACACAGAAAACTGGGGAACACCCACTCAATCAAGCTGCATAAATTGCTATTCAATTTTACAGAAAGAACGAAACAGAAAGTCAACAGAAAGTCTGTTATCATAAGCTACTTATCATACTGATCCATACACCAGTGCCTAAAGTATATTATGTCCACTATAATTCAATTCAATTCAATTTTATTTATATAGCGCCAAATCACAACAAAAGTCGCCTCAAGGCGCTTCATAGCCTTCACATATCAAAACTATAATTTTGATATGTGAACTGTAAAAGGAAGATTCTGTTATTTCTTGCTTCCAAAGTTGCAAAAGAATGATTATACACGCACTGTACACAGATTAGATAGTAAATCTTCAATCCACTATGGCCTTTAATAATTATTCTATGAATAAATAAATAAATCGGTTGATTAAAAAATATATAAAACACAACTGATACATCTATATTGTAGTGCAAGTTCAGTAACTGCTAGATTTATTTTTAAACTGACGTTTTTTGAGCTAACCAAAAACTTGCAGATTACGCTGGGCCAATCATCCTCCCAACATCTGCAGGGCACACTTGTGTAGCGGGTAAGTACAGGGGAGGGGCCCTGGATGTAAACATCACAGGGGAACCAATGATTAACACGCATATCATAAAATGTTCATTTTCATAGACTACCATTGGCTCGTCTTCGGTGGAGGGGCGGAACCTGCAGGCAAGATAAGTAGACAGAGGAAGTGCCTGATGACCCGCTGAAACTTGGAGTCCATTGACATTATTAGTTGGTCCTTTTCATTCAGAATAACGCAGAGGAAAGGAAAACAGCTAAGTGCAGGTTTGTGTAACAAGTAGTAAGCGCTTGTACCTGTCACAATGAGGTCTAAAACGAAGCCAGCACCGCCGCTGATATAAAACTTGAGCAACTGTTTGTTAGCTCTGAGGCTAAACCTGGCTAGCTTGACATAACGTTAGACTTTTGCCTGCTGTTATCAGAGGACATGCTGCCTGCTTCTCTGCCGTGTTGTGTTCTTTATCGATGTCTTTTAAGGAACTTTTGCATTCGGGCTGCTCATTTGTCAGTATACTCTGATATGTATTTTTCCTGCTCTGCCTCTCCTGCCATATCTTAATCTGTGGACTTTATCAGGTCTGCTGCGTATGTGGAGAACCACCCTCAAATGACACATTTATCTCTCTGGCGCCATTTTATTATCACGGATGAATATTTGGACTCTTCCAGAGCCTTGGACTTTATAGCTCAAAAAAGAAAACCTAACAATATATTATAAAATGAATGTGATGCCCAGTTGTATGTTTATACATTTGCTTTCAATGAGTCATACTTTCTTAGAATATTTATTTATTTATTTATTTATTTTAAGTGGTCTTGAGCAATAGTTCTCCAGAAACTGTTGCTCAGCATTATTGAAGCAGTAAGGGATCATCTTGACAAAGAACAGTACAAAAGACAGCCAATATCCAAAGAGGAGCTGTGAATGTCCTTGGAGAAGTCTGGAGAACTATTTTGGAAGACTACTTAAAGAAATGACAAGATAATTCAGACTGTTTTGAAGAATAAAATATTGACTTTCAAGCTTGTTAGAGTTGTACAGATCTGTTTTTGCGTTATTTCTATAATTTCCCCAAAACAACCTAGGTAACCGGTAAACACATTTCCCATTTTCCAAGCAACATTGTAAAGAAAGGAGGGGTGATGCAACATTTTTGCACAGTACTGCAAGAGATTTGCCTGTAAAACACTCTAGCTGTGGAACACTGTATGTTGATTTCCAGAAGCTGCATCTACATCTGTGATCATATATGGGACATGTATGATCATATGAGCATGCGTCTGTGACTGCTCTTATACAGCAGAAATCCTAAATGTTTAGATTTTTGTTATTGGAATTGTTGTCTTTTCTGTTTTATTATCTCAGTCAAATGCAAACTTGGTTTGTAGCACAGCGAAGGGCTCTAATACATTTTTTTTTTAAATAAATTTTAATAAAATCAGAAGGGGAAAAAAAATTAAGTCTTTGCAATTTGCCCAACACTCTATTAGTTTTTTTTGTAGCCAGGACCTCGTTTGAACAAGGGTGGAGTGTTATGTTATCTTTAGCACGGAGTAGCAGACGGTTAAAATACTAGAATTTCACTCATAAAACTTGAAAAACAAACACCTTGGCTGGACTGTCCCACACAGCATGTCTTGTCTCTTTTGAAAGGTGACACCATGGTGACGGAGGGGGAGCCAACAGATTTTGTTAAAGTGTTGCACCTCCTGGTTCTCTCTTTCACCTGGGGCATGCAGCTTTGGGTTTCCTTCATTGCAGGTAAGTGGGCCACAGAGCAACAAGGCATGGCTTCAACAAGATGCATGCGTTCCTGTTTTGACACCGTGTTTAACGTCTGTGGCTGCAGGCTTTGTGTTGATTCGGCAGGTAACTCGGCACACCTTCGGCCTGGTGCAGAGTAAGCTTTTCCCGGTGTACTTCTACTGCGTGCTGGGAAGTAACTTTGTCAGCCTGGCTGTGTATGCTGTGTACCATCCCAGAGAGCTGCTGGACTGGCATGAAAGTGTACAGGTGAAATATCACACGCTGCTAGGAATGAAAAAACTGAGCACTTTTGATTGGAAAAAAGAAAAAATTAAACATTTTGTGAGTTGCATCATCGAGTTGCAAGCTTTCCCTTTTCATCTTCCAGATGCTTCTGTTCTTCGTGGCGCTGATCACTGCAGGTCTGAACGCCCAGTGGTTTGGCCCAGAGACCACTGAGCTGATGTTCCTGATGAGGGAGGTAGAGAAGGAGCACAACCTCGGCGAAGAGATTGGCCTGGGCAGCCAGAAAGAGGCTTACGCCAAGCTCAAAGAGCAGGATCCCAAGTACAAAGCCTACAGGAGCAAGTTTGGCAGTTACCATGGGTTGTCCAGCCTCTGCAACCTGATAGGATTCCTCTGCACCACAACTAATTTGGTCTACACAGCTTTGAATTTAGCCACCATTTAAAGACAATATTTTAGTTATTAAAGAAAAGATAAAGAACCAAAATGCCGTGCACACTTTTGTACTTTGTTATCTAACAGTGTTTCTGGGTCAGAACACTGATAAATGTGCAGGATTTGTTGGTTCTTTTATCACTTTATGATACAGTAGGGTTAGGACACACACTCATACGACTTGGATTGGAAGTACTTTAATTTACAAAATCATTTCGCCAACTGTTTCTATATCATATCAGTGTTGAATATGAAGTGTGAATCATAAATAGCAGTATATGTGACATTTTGTAAATGTAATTACAGAGAATTCTGCATCACTTTATCTGCCCCAAGTGTCCTTATGTGCAAGAACTATCTCCAGTGAGCATGCAGAACTCATCATGTGCTCTTCACTGCTGTCAGTTAAGCACTCTTAACCGTTTTAATTAAATATGTTTTTTTTTTTATCTTGTATAATTTTATTTTATTTTTTGTATTTTTTTTTTTAATGTAGTTGGTTTTATTTCTCAGAAAGCAAAGAAAAGTACCAAGCGACATGGAAGCAATGCACGTCCCTCCCCAGTAGGGGGCGATATTTGGACAAAGCTTTCAGATCCATTGTAGCACACAACATAATGCTATTTCATGTGCACCATGACATTCTTGATCTTGTAGTGCATTTTAAACTTGTCACCACTGTTTAATGAAAACTATGACTGGATGATTAAAGTGTTGTTTTGATTTTTCCATTTGGATCAACCGAGTGATGTCAAAGTCTTTCTGGTGTTTGGCCTAGTGACACGAGCTTTAAAAGCAAACACTTATTTCAAAGAATTGGTTTAGGAAGAAGTGGTCCTGTGATTCTTGTGGATGAATAAAGCCAGGCCAAACAGACAGCGCCTGCTTTCGGAATAAGCAGATTTTAATTAAATTCTCGGTGATGCACGTCAGGTTTTGAGGAGAGCAGCCTTGGATGCGGGGAACAGAGCTTTGCCGGCCAACTACAGGATAATCGAGGCACCATTGCTATTAGAATATGAGCACTAATGGACTGTAGTGAAATCATTTCAATATAAAAAGCATAGGCTAGAGGCTGAAAGTAAATGAATTACCTTGTCCCCAATGCAATTAATGTTGGTCCTTTTAAGGCTGTGATCAGGTTTTTAATGTTTTCTTCCAACCCAATGAAAACAGCATTGTATAAACTGGCAGAATTGCTGTTGAACATACAGTTTTATCTTACTAAAACACTGATGTGCCATGCAGTCACGTCACAAAATAAACAAGGAAGTTAGTCAAAGAGTCTTGAGGAAACAGCACAGCTACACATGCCAACCTTTTGAGGAGTGTAAGAGCTTTACCTGCCTATCAGGTTATCTGCTGCAGTGGAATCAGGAAATAAACCTTTTTCAACCAGGGAAAAGGTTTATTCACTGATCTCTTCAATATTTCTCATGCAGTTACAGGGCTGTTAGTGATTATCTCAAAAAGTTAATAATGGTACAAGAATTCTTTGTATGAGGAAAAAAGGTGGACACAGAGAATATGGATGAACACACGATGTTAAAAACAGCTAAAATTCCTCAACCTGGCTGTGCAAAATAAAACAAAAGAAAGCTGAGAACAAAAGGAATTGTTGGGGCCTCCTAGCAGACAGGTCCAACCATTCCTCCCTCATTCCTGAGTCACACAAGGAAATGACTCTGTATTTGTTTCCGAGAACGTAAGAGTCTCTACTGCAGTCGGTATTCTGAAAACGCCTGCTAGTTTGTGGGGGACTATCATTTGGAGTCGTGATGGCACTGCAGTGCAGCCCTGCAGTAATATAGTGTGTTAAATTAATTATGAGTCTAGAAGTCTCAAGCTGCTTTATTCCATCATGTCTTGTGGAGAAATTGGTCCAATTTGCAATTGTCTGATTTCAGTGATGGATAATGCACCTATGCATCATAAAACACTGAGCTCCTAATAGAACCATCTGTCAAAGGATTCTGCTGCTCACTTTGATACAAGCATTAAGGGCCAGGTCTCACACAGCTTCACCTTAGACATGATCAAGTTTTCTGCAGTGTGCACCAGAGGAAAAAAATGAGCAAATCTCCACGTCTTAACTGAGATTTTGTGATAATAGCTGCTGGACATTTTTCCTGATGCCAGTGTTTGCACCATTTAGGCTCTCTTCTAATGTTGAGTATCTATTCTTATCTATCCTTCTACTTAACAGGTTCATTTGTATCTCTCATGTTATCGCTTATCTTATCTTATCTTATCTTATCTTATCTTATCTTGTATATAAGCTTAAAGGGTCAATCACAGGACAAAAAAAGGGATGGGGGGGGGGGGGGGGGGGGTGTGTGTGTATGTGTAACAAAAGATGTCAGCAAGCACAGGTTAGATCCCTTTATATTTAATGTGTATATCTGTCTGTCTGTCCGTCCCCCCTCCCAGATGCAGTTCCTTCTGAAAGCAGAGAGCTGGTGACTTCTCTTACACTCAGCTGTACTTCACGCCACCAAGCTTGCAATCCAAATGCACTTAGCTATGGAGCGCATTACTGGTAGTTTAGTTTAAAATGACACAGAAAGGCTGTGATTGTTTGGAAGGATGAATCTTGGTTACAGTGAATACTACACGGTGAACGTTTGGCTCCCCCACCCCCACTATACCCTGACAAGTCAGTCTGGCACTCAGCACAGAACCACAAAGTATCATTTTACTGGCACCAATTGAACAAAATACAGTAAGCTTTAAGCCTGACCACAAATAAAGCAAATAAAGATTTGCTTGTTATCCATTCATAGTAGGCTCTTGCTGTACTCCTTTAAAGGTGCTTGTACAGGGATTTATTATTCATTAAACAAAGAGGAGTTAGCTGTTTCCACCCCCAGTTCTAATCTCCATACGTGCAACAGCTGCTGGGGCAGAGTGATGTTATCATCAAACTCTCTGGGGGAAAGAAAAATAACCTAAGTATCACCTCTTTCACAAAAAAGGAAACAATTAATGTAAACATCACAGGGTTACACAGCGAACTGGGGGGTGTTGCCATGCTAATGCAGCCCTGCCTATAGTGAAAACATAGGAGTAAATATAATATAATATAATATAATATAATATAATATAATATAATATAATATAATATAATATAATATAATATTCTGAACTAACTACTGAGTCGTTCACGTCTGCGTAAGGATATTAGAAATTGCTTGTGTTGTTTATTCAGGGTGTGTGGCTCTCGCGCGTGCACTTACGCACGCACGCTGGTCAGCCCTCTCTCCTCCTCGCGCTGGTGGCAGACCTACACAGTGTCGTGGCGTTTAGGGTGCTTGAGTGTCCGTACCAACTGTCACAGCGAGAGCCGCGGCTTCAGCCCCAGCTGTCCACAAACCGAGAGCAGGTTGTAGTCCGCGAACAGCGAAGCGAAGGGAAAAAAAAAGTAGTTGTTGAGGAAGGGAAACAGGTCAGCTACTGCGGGTGCTGCTGCTGCTGGGGAGGGATATTTCAGGTGCACTTTATTAGCAGACTTTGATAGGTCGTTTGCTCCGCGTATTACCGGACGGAAGATACCAGAAGTAGAAAGGGAACCGAGTTGGACGTTTCCTTTCTTCCGCAAAAAAAGAGGTACGTTTCTCGCTTTCCCAGCTGTTTTCCTGCACAGTGCTTCCTTCATGTCCGACTACTAACTGGGAACCTTTACTAAAACTTCAATGTTTCCTGCTTTATGGATAATAGGCTTATCCCTACAGAGTAATAATACACACTCTCGTTTTGCAGGAAATATGTTGACATAGACTAAGCTGTTATCTGTTTTGTTTTGTTTTGTTTTGTTTTGTTTTGTTTTGTTTTCACCCAGTATCCAGATAGTACTGAAGCCTAAACCTGAATTTTCCATCTGTGTTTGTGTCTCAGTCCCGCTCCTAATGAGAGAACAGATGTGCTGCTGCCAACTAATCGATAATGGTCATTTCCTGTTGGTTCAGGCAGACTGCTGCCTCTGGCTCAGCAAACAATGCCAGCTGAGGGATCTGGCCGCACTGCCATCAGGCTCTATATACCATAATGGCCTCTATTTGTTTTACTGGGGATAATGACGCTCCTTTGTGCAATAAAGGAGCTCCCATTCTCATCCACTCTGCAGCTCCCTGAATGGCAAGTTTCACTTCATGGAGGATGGCTGGTCTGTGGTATGAGAGCAGGTGCTTGTCTTAGTCTTCCCAGCTGCTCACTGAGACCTGGTCCTGTGGTGATGTTTGAATAAGCTGCTTTTATTTCCCCATATTGTTCTACTTATTTCAGAGACACCATTGGGTACTTTGACCATAGAAAGAAATCTTTATAACTGTCCTTCTTTGCAATAGTCTTTTTTTTTTTTTGAAGATCATTTGCATACCCAGAAGTAACTTGACTCTGCAGAACTGAGCAACACCACAACAGAAAAAGCACTTTAAATTCTTGTAATCTCTACAACATGTAATGAACAAGTTTTAGTTTCTTAAAATTTTAAGAAACGTCAGCAAGCCTATGTGAGTCTGCTTCTGCCTGCAGGCGTTCTACGCTGCACAGTAAACACAAAGGACAAGTGACACAGAACTTGACAGACAGAAAAATGTACCTCAAGTTGCACAGGCATCATGTGATTCAGGGTTTTAGAGCCAGTATCCTGAGAGATTAGAAAGAATTGGGAGACATGGTGTGGGGCCCAGGACCTTTAATACCTAGAAACACATTTTTCCATTTAAAAGAATTGTGAGAGGGTATAGCAGGTGTGCCTAGGGCTCACATTCAGCAGGAAAGAAAACTTGTTTTACTTTCACACAGTTTCACAATACAAAACCCACAGAGGCAATTTAAAATGCTCAACTGAAGTGAGGCTTAAAGTCTGGATTAACCCTCCAGCTAAACTGCAGCTACTTTTAAAAAGGTGGTCTTACACTTATATACAGACAGAGTTCTTAACAAGTGAAACACACAGACTTGTCCTCTTATGCCCTGTATGGCAATTATTCTGACAGTACAGAGTGAATACACTCTTTCCTCCTTATTTTGTTTTCTTTAGCTCTCATGGTAGTGAGATAGATATCTGTGTCGAGCTCTGGAGACCTCCATCTGACCAGTTAAAAGCTGAGCGTACTGACTGCCTTGACCGCTAATGGGTCTTGCGGGCAGCTGAGTCAAAGTCTGGTCTCCACGGAGACGGGTCTGACCAGAGAGAGGCACGGCTGAGCTGCAACGATTGATCTGCTGTGTGTGTGTGTGTGTGTGTGTGTGTGTGTGTGTGTGTGTGTGTGTGTGTCTGTTTGAAAGGACACACATGGCCAGCTCTCTACCCTCCTCCTCCCTGTGTTTGGTTGACTGACAATAAAAGGTTTGATGGCAGGTAATCTCACACCTGCCCCAGAAGAGATTACACTGAGATTAATGGCTATAATGAAGCGATTGGACAGATGGCAGGACGTCCTGTACTTTCATTTAAAGGAAATTTTCAGGTTTTTAGTGTGTGTATAAATGGCACATCGAATGAAAATATATACAATCAGCAATTTTGTTTAGTGACTTAGTTAAGTCACAACATCATCAAGTCAACTTCTTGAAGTAGTCATTCAGCGTGCGTACATGCCAATCACTTCCTCCTCTCTGCTTCTTTAAATTAATGATGATTTCTGCTTTTCCTCAGTAGAAATCTGCAAACTAAACATTTTTCTATGTGTGTGAGAGCTGTGAACAGAGGTGTTATGTTTGTGCGTTGATTGTCTGTCCATGACGCTGCTGCTTTGCTAGTTGTAACCACTAACCAGTGTGAAGGATGTGATAATGCAGTTGTGATGCCGTTAGATGATTTTGGTAGGATGTTTCAAGCAAGTGCTTTAGTTTATCCTGATTTTTCACATAGACTTTTTCCTCTCGTAAATTCTCCAGATGGCATCAACTGAGTCGCGGCTCCAGCAGCAGCCCTCGCAGAAGGATGCAGCCGACCAGAACTTTGACTACATGTTCAAGCTGCTGATCATTGGCAACAGCAGCGTGGGGAAAACTTCCTTCTTGTTCCGCTATGCCGACGACTCCTTCACCTCCGCTTTCGTCAGCACCGTGGGCATTGACTTCAAGGTCAAGACTGTCTTCCGCAATGACAAGAGGATCAAGTTGCAAATCTGGGTGGGTAGATTTGAGATAAATGAGAAGTTCTCTCTGCCAAGCTACAGCATCAGTTCATTCTGCCTTTTTGTTTGCTAGAATGAAGAGGAGCGTCATGTGTACTCTGTGATAAGCTGTTGTAAATCAGAGTGGAAGCTCCATACTTCTAAAGGTGTTATTGGTTTAGAACATGTTAAGTCTTTCACCTCTTACTGAACAAAAGTCTTAAAAATACATTTTTCTCAAACTGTGGTTTGGCAGTTGTGAAAGTGTAACCTGTGAATTGTGTAAATGTAAAAAGCATGACTTCCTCATGTTTTATACGCATTCATTATGGTATGAATGTTTTTTGACACTTTTTTGACCACCTTTTGTATCGGTATGGTGAACGTGTTAGCCTAGAACAGGGACATCAGACTCATTTTACATTGTGGGCCATATTTTGATCTTACGTGGGCTGGACAAGTGGATCTGCCTTTTCTGTCAGTTTAACTTGTGGGCTGACCGTGGCTCAGGTGGTTGGGAAGCGTATCTGTAACCGGAAGGTTGCCGGTTCGATCCCCGGGCTCTCTGTCCTGGTCGTTGTGTCCTTGGGCAAGACACTTTACCCTCTGGCCAACTGGTGTTGGCCGATGGCGTGATATGGCAGCCTCGCTTCTGTCAGTCTGCCACAGGGCTACAACCGTAGCTTGGCTCCACCAGTGTGTGAATGTGCGAGTGAATGAATAGTGGCATTGTAAAGCACTTTGGGTGCCTTGAAAAGCGCTATATAAATCCAATCCATTATTAACTACACATTTACATACATACAATTTCAACAGTATTTCTTACGTTTTCTACATGCTAAAGAAATGCTCTTGTGGTAAATGAAAAAAATCTGTCCATACGATTTGGACTTAAGCTGTAAGAGGTAAATGTGTAAAATTACAGAAAAAGTTCTGGTAGCTCAATCTCCAGACTGTGCTGTATTTATAAAACAGAGGGTTTCTGTCAATTAACAGAAAAAATTTTCCAAAGCCGTTTAGTGGGCCGGATTGTCTTTCCCGGGTCAATTCTGGCCCCGGGCCTTATGTTTGACATCACTGTCCAAGCAGATACAATTTCTACTAAATCTTAAGATAAATTTCTGGATACTTAGCTGCTGTTCACATGACTGTTCACTAGCTTTAACTAACTTTATCTGCTGATTACGGTGTCACCTGGATGCCAAGGTGGAAAAGTGTTCTCTATCGTGGGTTATGATGTCCTCTTCATTTAAATATAAAATGTGTTTTGACAAATTGGGCACAAATTCCTTCCTCTTTTGCTTCCAAGGTTGAGAAAGTAAGATGTATTCATTGTTTAGTTGCTGTACATTTCACGTAGACACTGACACAATACGTTGTGTGCAGCATTTATAGCAGGCAAGGTGTTGTGATGGTGTTGTTTGTAAGTTAAACACCATCTGAAACAGTACAGTAGCTCCACAGTCACATTAGCACTAATGCTTCCTTGTTGTTGAAGTCTTCAGGTGTTGATTCAGCTATTTTTCTGAGCTACAGTTTGTAGTATTGTTGCGTGTTGCGTTCGACAGTTGATGTTGTTGCTGTACTTCACACCACTGTTCCTCTTTGCTAACTCATTTTGTCATGCATGTTTATCACACAAGAACATGATTTTGGAGAATTTGCTATCGATGCTTTTCATGAATTTGTCATTTCTTTGACGGGCAAGCAGATATTACTTCCCCTAATAGTCATACAGTTAAGATAAAAATATCAAAACACACATAATTAGATTGTGAACAGTTCGATTATTATGAATAAAACTGTTAAGCCTTACATTAATTGTATAATGTCTACTGTGGGTCAGCACTATAGACTATAACTAAAAGATGATGTACTGTAGAGTGGATGCAAACTCCGGAAAGGTCTGAAAAGTGAAGTCGGCGAGATTGTCTTCTAAATAGAGCTGCTCGATTGTGGAAAAAAATCATAATTATTTTGTTCAGCATTAAGGTCTCGAATCTTTTTGTTAACCAAAGTCTCTCTTTCTGTCGTCTTGGCCATAATCATTAGAAGTTCTAATTGTAATTTAATTTAAATGTAGTTGCACAACCCTGGCTTTCAGGAACTACTGCCGTAGTTGCAAAAAGAAGTCAAACTGAGTTGAAGTCTCTGAAAGAATAACCCTGCTTCTCGCTTGATTTATGACCTCAGTAAACACTTTCCCAATGAATTTTCCGCCTCAGTTATTAACTTCAACACAACATTATGCTTGTTTGTTAAATTTTAGTTTATTTAGAGTAAATTACATGAAAAAGCATTTTGACAGGTCACTATTATATGAGGATCCACCCCACGCCGTAACAACAGCCAAAATAGAGTTGGGGCTTCAAAAGGAACTTCAATGGCTGACCCCACTTTTTAAACTCTATGGTAACATCTGGTTAAGTCACTCAAATTTATCTGCAACATGGTGACAGGATGGCATGGGTGGATTACTAGTTTTTAAAAAATCGATGGGTAGTTGCATTATGGGAAATCTAGGATTCAGTGTTGGACCAGGGCTGGGGCAAAAAAAATATGTCAAACTCTGTTGTTTCACCCCAGTTTCTTTTTGTTCTTCTTTTAAACTTCCACCTTCAGAGAACTATAATGGGTACCTTTAAATGCCTGTGCCAGTTTTTGAGACAATACTTTTACACCTTTTTACAGTTAGCAGTTGAGAAACAGCAGGAATCAGCTTCTATGATTGATCAGCCCCACTGACAGCTTTACTAACAAAGTTAACTTTGGAATGGGCTTTCATATTGTACTATAAGGTGTATCCTGGCAGCTCGCCTTCCCTCACACTATGCCACAAATCCTGTCTATATACATTGTTTAGGCTGATCAAACAGATGATTCATTCAAACCAGCAATCTGTGAGCCACTGTATGATCCACAAACAGTGACCCGAATGAATCAGCAGCCGAGAGGAGCCCACACCAAAACACACAGTCACCTAGTGTGTGAATGTGTGTGTGAATGGGTGGATGACTGGTTGTGTAAAGCGCTTTGGGGACCTTAGGGACTAGTAAAGCGCTATACAAATACAGGCCATTTTTACCATTTACTAAAACTGTGTCTCTTATAAATGACATGCAGTGTTAGTGGTGTTAGTCTAACAGCTGATCAGGAGGGAGAAAAAGAACAGCAGTAACTAACTTGACTGTGTACTTTGTATTCAATAATTAGAGGACATTGTTATGGGGTTCTACAGAAGCAGCCCTGAAGTACTGATGGTGCTGTTGGATGACAAAGAAACCTGGTATTTCCTAGGCTCAGGAAGCAGAGGAAGTTCCTTATCAGCGTCTCACTGAGCCATAGCGAAGATCGACTGCAAACTCAGTAGTGTATTTAAAGGGTGTGGGAGCAGCAGGCATGTCTTAAAACAAGCACTCTCTTACATCGTGTTAATATTTAACTCTGTAATAATTCAGGAATGCTAAATTAAAGTTGGATACCTAACATAAGAGAATTCACCAGAGCCTTTGACAAAGAGAGTTGCAAATTAAGCCATTGTGCCAGCTGCCAGCCTAACTGTGTGTATCATGGAAAGTAGTCTGATAACGCACCACGTGGCCCTTGCACAGTGCATGAACATACGGGAACTCATGTACAATATGTACACACTGTGCACACACACTGTGTACATCCCTGCTCTCATGTCATGGAAATACATTTCCTTTCTTTAAGCAAACACACACACCTTTTGCACATTTAGCATAAATACTGCCGCACATATGCCCGGGCGTGCTATCCCTGGGGATGATGTCCTGTGTGTGCCACTGCTTCATGCCGGTCGCTTATATAAACGCAGGTGACGCATGTTTAAAGATCAGGGTCCCAGAGACGTCAAAGCTTCTGATTGTGCACAAGCCTAATTTAAACTCCTCCCTATCTGTCATCGCATATATGCACACAAGGGAGCAGCTTTTGTTTACTGTTTGGGGTTTATTGTAGCAACCTTGGAGACTGGCTGTTTGGTTAGTAATGCTATTATGCTGCCAAATATTTGATCATCCCTTCGTGGATGAGATAAAGATGGACCTGGGCTATATCACACGTTACTGAAACAAAATAAACTCTGACAGAGCAGGCTCTGGAAAGATTAAAGAATAAAGCTTGATCGCTCTGCTCGAGGGATTTTACCAGCAGACTGCCCTCTGTGTTGGTTGTTTTCGTAAAGTGAGAAGGATCGCTCTGGTTGTCCACCTAGAGCAGTCCTAGCTGTAATGGAACATGCATAACCTTCAATGCCCTCTGGTTACCTGGACAACACACTCTTCCTCCTCATCAAAATGAGGAAAACATCAGACACACACAGGCCCCTGATGCAAATTAAGGACTTTAGAAAGGTTACCGGGTAACCACGAGAGTGGCGGCGAGATAATCAACCAACTCAGTCAACCTTTTTGATGTTTTATCCTTTAATTGTCCAATAAATAAACTGAGCCGTTGGCTGTGATATTACACAGCCTCCAGGTGGTTAGTAATCCAAGCCACACGTCCCGGTGTGATGAGAAATGATTGTGGCAGGAGCTCATATCTAAATGCCATCTTCCCCTGGACTGTGTGGTGCAGAGAAATGGCATTTTGAAGCAATGCAGCCAGTTGGTTTGGAAGAAAAAAACTACATGAAGGTCTCACAGAGTGCAGCTGAGGCATGACCTACCCTGATATTTACCAGTACATGTCTAATAAAACCAAATACAAATCTGACTTGAATTTAACTTAAAAACACTTGAATAGAACTTACCTAACCAGTACTAACAAGAATCATCAAAGCTGGTGAAACTAGGAGTACTAGTAGCATCATTACATGAAAAAAATAGCCATCCCTGCAAGATATTTCTAAATTATAGGATGTAAATGCAATTATAGGGCATTAATGCTGTAATGGATGACTGTCAAACAGCTCCACTTGGTAAAGTCAAAGCTGATACCTTAGATAACTGTTACTTGGAAAGAGTCCAGGGTTAGTTTTGGCAATACTGCCCCCTTGTGGTCTAAAATCATATACTGGAGATTTTTAACCTTAAAAATGTAAAGTGAATGAAGCAGATAGAATAAAATATTTCATGGACTGTGTATTATTGTATAATTGCAGGACACGGCAGGGCAAGAACGCTATCGCACCATCACCACAGCCTACTACAGAGGAGCCATGGGCTTCCTGCTCATGTATGATATCACTAACCATGACTCCTTCAACGCAGTTCAGGACTGGTAAGTGTGGAATGAGTGAAAAGCTTTACTATTAATACTGTCTACATTAGATTATGTATTTGTAATTTTGTTTTATCTAAAAAAAAACAATTTAAAAAAATACGTTCTCGAGTATGTTATCTACAGTGTAAAGTTGATGCCAGTTGATGGAACATGAAGAAGTTTTTGGTATGTTAGTGCCATCATGTGGTCAGTTGTGAACTGAGGCGTAGAGTGACATCCCTGTTCTTCTTTGTCCTTTTTATATACAGTTAGACCAATAATATATTGTACAAAGTTAAGTAGTTTTATCTCTGTACACAGCCACAGTGGAAACAATCAAGATATGAATGAAGTGCATATTTTCAGCTTTAATTCAAAGAAATGAACAAACAAAATCTTTAATGGTTTAATAGTAACGTGACTTATAATGAGGCCCAAAGATGGTGCCATTGATGTCAGTGCAAGTGAGGGAGGCCATCAAAAGGCAGAAAAATAAAAGTAAACCTATCGCTGAGACAGCACTATTTTAGGAGGAGCCATTCTTCAAAATAATGAATGCAGTGGCCGCCTCAGCAATACCAAAAAGCCTCACAAATCTAACCAAGTTAAAAACACTCTTGAGAAGGTATCATTGTCAAGGTCTACAATCAAGAGATTCCTTTGTGAATGTAAATATAGAAGGTATCTAACAAGTCCTTTTATATTTACATTCACGAAGGGTGAATGTAAATATAGAACTTCCTGTTCGTCTCAAGAAGAGGAAGTCCAAAAGAACATCTAAAGAATCTAATAAAGCCTGTGCAGTTCTGAAAATAATTCTCTGAACAGATGAAACCAAGATGAACGTACCAGAATAATGGAAAGAGAAAAGTGTGGAGAAGGAGAAAACTGCTCATGATCTGAAGCATACCACAAAGAAATTGGAGATACTTCAAATGTCAAGTCAGTCACATGATCTCAACCTAGCAGAGCGCTTCCCAGTTATTAACTTAAAATTTGAATGCAGAATGATCCACAAAGAGCAGCTGAAGGTGGCCGCAGTAAAGGCAGCATCTGGTGACATCCATGGGTTGTAGACTTCAGGTGTCACTGTTTGAAAAGGATTTTCAACAAGGTTTAAAAAAAAGTCTTTATATTTAAATGCATGTTAGTTTGTCCCATTCATTTTGAACATCTGAAAACAATGTATTGTGTATAAAAATGATTGAGTTATAGGTGGAAGTCTGCATTTCAATCATATCTTGATCATTTAACACCCACTGCAATGGTGTACGTGGGCAAAACTTCAAAATTGTGTCACTGTCTAACAAGGTATGGACCTCAATGTATTTCTTTCGCCAGATTTCCCAAAGAGTTTAGTGAATCTACAGCAAATATGCTATTTATCATATTTGGATGATTCTAAATAAAAATGTTTATTTAAAAACACTGAACAGCACTGGATAGCTGGTTTTTACCCCTCAGCCGTAATTGTCGTCACCCTGACGTAGACACCGAAGTTTGTGAACTTTAGAACAAAGGGATGTAGGAGTTTCAAATTGATACCGTAGGTATATCTACTAAAAATCTCAAAACAGTTCAAAATCAGTGATCCCAGCGTCAAGATCAGTGGGCAGAGGACAAGTTTTCTGAAAGTCTTGTGAATGCGATAATTTGAGAAGGACGTCACCCAGGATTTAGAAATTGATTCCATAAATGTATCTAGTAGGAGCCTGAGGGGTGCCACCAACCCTCTGCAGGGGGTTTAGATTCTTGTGGTTTGGAGTTGCAGCCCAAATTAGATGAGAAATGCATTGCCATGCTATATTAATGCAAGAATTTGTAAATAATGTACAATAAAGTCTATATTTAACTGAAAATAGTACAAAGTACAGTAGACAATACAAAAAGTACAAAGACAACATATAAACTGTTGAAACTGAGAAATCATATAGCTTTTAGAAAAAAAATGCTCATTGGAGATTAGATGAGAGACCAGTAATGCATCCATCCATCCATCCGCTTAGCCTTTTCAGGGTCTATCCCAGCTGTGATAGGGCGAGAGGCAGGGTACACCCTGGACAGGTCGCCAGTCTGTCGCAGGGCCAACACACAGGGACAGACAACCATTCGCACTCACATTCACTCACAC